TGATAATTTGATCTAGTAATCTTAAACCGAGGACAATTCGATTGATATTCGCACAATATATATTTTTTAAAGCGAATCGCGATTTCGCGACTGTCACTTACGCGCGTCACTCATATATAATCCTCAAAATTTCCGCGATCACCTCGCGCGGACGCCTTTTGCATTCTCCTACCTGTTGCTGTTGACGGTGACGTGATGATACGGCGTGACAGAATCGGGATGCACACACCGACTCGTCGGATCGGCTGACGACTGAACTGAACTGAACAATCCGGGGCAGTTTGCCATCCGCCGCGGATATATGTCGGGGAGCTTCCAGGGCGCAAAATTCCATCGGCGAGTCCTGCGCAAACGCATCCTTCTTCGGCAGGACTTCTTCGCCAATTCGCGAAAAGACGCGCGTCGCACACACCGCGGCTTTCCCGCACACCCACCCCGGGTATAATTCGCGTACATACGTGCTTATATACGTGCGGCTCGAGCTCGGTCAAAGATTATGGGGTCAAGTTATTCGTCCAAAGGAATTTTTATACAAAAATTACGTGGATTGACTTGCAAATTAAAAATCCACGCGCAAAAAGAAGGAAATATTACTTTCTTTGATGTCATACGAAATGTTTTGCAACGATCATTCCATCAAAGAAAGATCGAATGACAAGAAGTGACATTTAATTGCTTTTTAATATTCTGGTCACAGATATTATATTTTTCTAATGTATGCTGGAGCAATTTGTTTTGTATATTGATTATATAAAGTACCCTAGCTTGAGTTTCCTTTTAGTGTAAAAGGACTTATTCGGAGCTAGAATTTTTACTTAGTATCATGGTATTTATTTTTGCAAAACAACATGTAAGCTTACTCGTAATTATACAGAAAACATAAAAAAATAATATAGAAATGATACACGTAACATAAAAGATATCTATTACATACATCCTTAATAACAATGAATGTTCGATTATCAATTATCTTTATTAGAATTCTTTCTGATATTTTTAAATCATAAATATAATTGATTTTCTGTATAATTCTTAAGAAAGTTTCCACATAATAATATTATTTCGATAAAAAAATAATATACTATTAATTAGAATAATTTATAGAAATATATTATAATATTTTTGTTTATCTTCATGGATCTCGAGCGAAAGTAATGTACATGTATCTCTTCAAGATTTCCATCATTGACTTATTACGCCAACGCAACTTTATAATTTAAAGGATTTATCGAGAAGATAGTCGAGAAGATAGCGAAAAATGAAAAGATAAAAATCGGAGAATAGAGAGAGAGAAAGACAGAGGAGAGTAAGTCGGTAGGAGGATAGGAGAGCTTTTAGCACAGCAAGATCTCATTCTGTGGTGTGATAGACTCAGAAATATTCATACAATTTTTAGATATTTGACTGGTTCAGCTTTCTTCCATCTTTACCAGAAAATTTTTGAAAATCGACGATGGGGACCTATTCGTCTATTTAAAATATGTCCATCAATGAAACATCATAGTTCTTGAACAGATCTTTCAGTCGATCTAAAGCCCTTTTCTCCTTGGCAAGAAATATTGAGAAGGTCATCTCTTACTTTTCTTATCGCAACTCTTTCTAATTTCTAACGCTATACATATATATACATATATATTTATAGCTAGGTTTTAAATTAAAATTCCACTATAGAATAAATTCCAATTCTTAAAAAATATGACTTCGTCATCCATTTGCGTCACAGAATAGTCCGAGAAACGGCCATTATAATCTTCGCTCGTTAATTATTCAGAAATTGCTTCGACATCTTCTCATTGAGGAGAGAAAAAAAGGTCGATTTTCTCCAAATCGACCGAGGGATCCGCGGTCAAAAGGACATCCGGTGATTCGAGACATCTTCCCCCGTACGGATGCCTCGTTCACTCGAGTAAATTGGATGCTGGCGTTCTCGCGGTTTATTACAATGGTAAAAGGGAGGGGTACGTTAGGCATCATTAAGAGGGTGCCAGCCGCAGAAGGCGCCCGTTGATTCTCGCCGAGAGGGAACTCGCGCTCGGGGATGCTGCGAACGAAATACGCGAGATGGAAATCCTTGACCTCTCTTTCCTCCTTCGCATTAAAGAATCGAGAAGCGACGGTACCTTCCTCCCTCCCCCCCTCCTCGGCCCGCGAGATATCGCGATACCTTTCGATCGCGAAGGCAGCGCGGAGGCGGCCAAGAATCATCATCGAGATAAGATCCCTCACGTTCCTTGCTGCTGAAATTAGCTGCCGCGGTGATGGCGCCATTCGCCGGGTCAATTTGCGTGGTAATTATAGCTCGGGGAAAATCAGGCTCGAACGTTAATCTAAAAGCATTATGGAATATTCGTCGATTACGGCGGAATGATCCGTAATGCGTCACGATATTGATAGCAACGGAATTGATATATAAATGCCGTATTTTGGTATCGGATCGCACTCGTAACGCAGAATAATTGAATTTTCGATGTCGGAGAGATGTATTTTTAAAAACCTACCCTTATATTTTTTGTTCTCTTTTCTGAAATTTCCATTTGTCTCCAGAGAGGTGGCCCGTGACCGATACCAAGGAATTTCAGGATAAAGTGTGATAAAACTCCGAAGAAATATTCAGTGTCATAAATTAATATATTTTTTGGTTTTTACGGAGAAATTTTACAGTTCTGAATACAAAATAATTTTTATTTTTCGAAAATTTAGTTCCGTGAAATCACGACTTTTTAATATGGAACGATTAATTGCGTCGAATAAGTGCGCCCTAAGTTATACGTCTATTTGGGTCATCAATTAGCGCGAATTCTGTTTAATTGAATTTTCTTTGTTCCGCGTTTAATATTAATTACTGCCATTTCAATTTAGAAAGGGACAACCATTAATTCTCGAAATTAATTAACCCGCGACTCATCTCGTGTGAAACAAACCACACTCCCTCGCGCGACTACAAATGCGAAAAGCCTAACGTCGCATACTAATTAAATACATGTTTAGCGAGCGTTCTTCCACTTCGTCCATTTAATCGTTGATATTCTGGAGACCGACGGGACCCGACGCGATTCCATGAAGATTCGCACGTGTCGCGTAATTTCGACGAAACAAAGGGCACGCGTGATGCCTCACGGAGGACGACTTCCCTCCCTCGGTGACGACGACGGGGGGTGCAACGAACCCCAGGGCATGGTGATCGCCCGGGCCAACGGCAGATATAGTCGGCCCTTCCGCTCACGCCTTTTAGGGATAAAAACGTTCATAATGCCGGAATGCGGGAGCGAAAGGGGGATACCCCCCTTCCCCTCCGGTGCGACGGGGATGCTTAATAATGCAATATGGCGTCGGGGCGTCGCGACGCTATGCGTGCTATGCCGCGCATACCGCTACCATATACGCCTACACACTGAACCCTCTTGCGTCCCCGCATTGTCCCCCGTAGCTTGCCTCTCCCTCTTTACCCCTGGTGGTTTCCTTCGCGGGAACGAGACCGCTCCTTCGCGTATATCGCCGGCAATCGAATGTTGATTGGAAAATATTGATGGGACTTTCCACCCGGTATCCGCAGCTCTCTCCTACCTCCTTCTCTCGGTCCTCCATCTTCGACGTCGAAGAGGATGCTTTTTCCATCACGGTACGCTCTGGAATTTCAGATCGGTAAAATATATATATATCTTGAAGCCAAGACTTTCGTCACCCTGGTACCGTCGATATTAATTGGCGCGGATCGTGTCCGAGCAATATTAAAGTAATAAGACGGAGAACAGCAATATTAACGAAGGATTTGATACAGCTATTCATGAGAGATTGATAATGCCACCTTGAATTAAAGGCTAAAGAAGATCTCTTTAATTTTTAGTAGTTTACTAGTTTACATTAATATAGCTGCAATTAATTTTGCTAGTGCGATATTTTGCTTGAAGAACATCTCCCTCGAATATTCAACGATTGCTAAATGTATTCTGGATTTTATGTATTCTCTTTGTGATTGAAATTTAATTTAAGAATAGAAATTTCTTATTAATAAGCAATTTTACAAATTTTATAAATAATAAGATAAATAAGATAAATGTTTGTATTACATTACCAAATATGTGTTATTGTTATTTGTGCAATAATTATATGAATAATTATATTGTACAGGCATTTCTTTTATATATTATATGTATATTGTATAATTATACACGCATAATATTGCATAACACATCGTAACTATGTTTTTCCAATTCAATTATTAACTGTTAGATATGTTTTATGAAATATGTTTTCGAGCGTTCTCCGATCTGTATCCTCACCCTTACGTGCGTAAGAGCCCCAGATAAACGTCACAATCGGCGAAATATTTCTGCGTACGACTGTACAAGGTCGTTCCAAGTTCCATGAATGGTTCCATCGAATGGCACGCCAACGAAACGGCGATGCTTGTGACTGAACCCATGACCTACTGGCAGAGAGAGAGAGAGAGAGAGACGTGGTGTCTAAACACCGACGCTGCTCGCTTCGATTTCCAGAACAGCTCAACTATTTCTGAAATTACACCCTCTAACATTATGCTGACCTTATTGACAAAAAGAGGATTCCCCGCCTTCGTATATAAGGGTCATTCAAAAATCTTTTAAGTGGAAATGATGCACTTCGTTATCTTTCATCATCCTAATGTTTTATAAAATATACGAATTTTATATACAAAATCTGTCACCATTTCATAGCCGAGAGCTTTTCTTAGCAATAATCGAAAAGTATTTTTCGTTTATTATTGCTAAGAAAAGTCGACAGCTTTTTTTATACTTTGATTGAACATAATAATAATCGAAAGTTTAATTAGCCTTTAAAAATATATAAAGCTTGATGACATTAAATTATTATAAATAAAATTAAACCGATGAACATAATTTGCAATCAATCTCATTCTTTCGATTAATTAGTCAGTTATTCTTAAATGAATTATAAATATCGTTTAATGTCTAAAAAAATAAGATTACATTTAAAAAGTGACTTTTTTGTATAAATTTTAGATGGGAAGATCGAAATTGAAGAAGAAGCTACAGCAAGGAAAACTGACAGAGTCAAGAAAATCCGAAGAGACGACGAGTACAAAAGTGCCAATAGATAATTTACCAGAAAAATTTCTCTGGATGCACGTAAGTCCTCGAATTATCTTTTAGAATTATGAAACGTTATTTGATTTTATTTACGAAATATATCTGCATTGAAAGGTGAAGGGCGGTACAAAGATTAAAAACGTTCTTGGCTACGCGTTGAAAGAATTTCCCAGTTACGGCAGCATCGTTTGGACTGGGAGTGGACATGCCGTCGCAAAAACTATTTCTTGTGCGGAAATTTTCAAGAGAAAATACGAAAGCCTTCATCAAGTAACGAAGTTGCGTTACGTCAGGTAGGTTTGTCAAAACATATGTCAGTGGCTGCAGTTCTTGTTTTAATCGCAATTTGATTTCAGTACGGAAAAGTCGAAGGAGAACACATCTGTTGAGGCTGAACGGATACCGGAAGTTCATATTTTACTGACTAAGGATATTAAAGACACAACTGAACTTGGGTGAGATTCATTAAGCTCCGTTTTTTCCCGACTTTCTTAAAAAATTACACGTTATTCATTTAATTCATCTAAAAGATTTTAATTAATTTTAAAGGGACTTTATCGTATAGACAACTTTATCATATATCACATTTTTATATTTAGTTGTACATACATTGGCGCTCATAAATTGTAAACGAAAGAAATATGAGAAAGTTTAATTTTATAAAATATTTTTATTGATACTTAAATAAATTCAAATGCTTTTCATTATTCGAAGATAGCAAAGCTTGGGTAAAACTCATTTAATAAAAACAAAAATATTATTCGTAGAATATTTTTATCTTTAACATACATTCGCTAAAAAATATTTTTATTTTAAATATTACAATCAAAATTATACAATTAAAATTACCTTCTGAGTCTTCTAAGTCTTATTTTCTTCGCTATTTAAAACAAATATATAATTATATTTCCTTAGATATCAAGCACCTGGAGATTGCGGGACATTTCCGGAAAAAGACGATACAACGGAATCAAAAGCGAACACTACAACAGAAAGTACTGATAATGTGCTTTGCATCGACAAGCAATCGACAATGAATAGTAAGAAAAGAAAGAATGTAAATAAGGCGAAGGAAAGCGCGGAACCTTCGAAGAAAAATAAAGTATCTTAATATAATTAAATTAATGTAATTATATTTTTTATCTTTATATTCTAATTTTTCTCGAGATATCGCTTTATTCCGATAGCAGTTACAGAAAATAAATAATACAGATTTTATGTAGAAAGTTTATTTCTTTACATGTTGTGTATGAATTGTCTAGGAATCTATTTTTCAGCGTATGATAAAAAGAATCACGTGATCACGAATGCGTTAAGACACTACTTTTATCAGATGAAAATTACATGTTACGGTGAACATTCGGCGTGTCGGAAAGTAATGCCATCATCAATCAGCTGTTGTGTAAGATTTCATCTTAGAATCTATTTCTCTAATTTAAAAAAAGAATCTTTCTCTTATTGACATTATTCATTTTAAAAAAAGCGATGCTCGTATTCGCGCTGTAACTTTATAGCAATATTTTATTATAGACTCGAAAAGTCACAGACGGGCAAATTGATACAAGACGCCCAGCCACTCTTATACATTCCGTCTCTTTTATTATAGTTTCTAGCCTTATGTCCAACGTACGGAGCAAGCGATCTGTCCGAGATTCACGTCGTAAATTGTTACGAAATTTTCGAGAACAGGATATATAGGAAAGCCTTAGTTTATACAAATCCTGTGTGAATCATATTGCTATACGGAATAAATGTATATGTACTATAAATAACAGTGCTATACCACATTTATCGCTATGTCGCTCCGCTCAAACAATACATTTTATAAAGACCAACTATGTGATGACGATTATTATGGTCACTCTAGACTAACACGATGCTCGTATAATAATGTGTAAAATTCTACAATCGTTTATACAAATTCGCATTTTTCCGGTTATGCAAATCGGCAACAAACATTCGAGAGGTGTGTTATCTCCACCTTATTATTATTGAAATTTCTGTATAATTGGATCTCAAGCCGCTGTGAGATGTAAAGATCACTTTTCTCAAAGTTAAATTTTTATCAAAGATAGAGTAAAAGTAATTAGTATTATCTCAGCAGCACTATCTCCCTTACACTGAAACATTCCGGCGATTTTCAATGCAATGCCACGCAGGCTGTCTTTAAATTAATGATATATGAAATTATAGAAATTTAATAAAATTTTAGTAAAAATGTTCTGATAAAATTTTGTTTAATTTATATTCCGAAATTTATGAACAATTATTCACAAAAAATGAAATAAATGTATATAATGTACATAATATATAAATGAATTATACGTTTCTTTTTTTCATCATACATATTTGCAGCATATAGTGTATAAAGAGACACAATCTACTGTTTTTACAAAAAGGTGTTTACAAAAGCATAATATAGAGATATGAGAGATTTTTGTCAGTATCTAGTAACTTCAATAGTGTAAGATAAAAAATTTGTAATATCGTGTCTCTTTTTCTCTTTTTTTTTCTTATCTAAACGTAATATATTATAAAAAGAATAACATTAAATTATACCATATACAATATGTTTTAAGAAATTTGATAATTGCAGTAAACTCTTATATATCGTTTGAAAGGTTGCACAGATTTTAAATATTAAAAGAATTGAATAAATATACGGATTGTGCACATCAGACACGAAAAATAGTGTTTACAGCAATAATTACACAGCTATTAATGAAACATTCATCAAGGAAAATTTCTGTTTAATAAGATACTGAGCAAAGATAAGAATATGTCTTTTTCGAGATCTTTGAAATTTGTCAGAGTTATGTGAAGAAAATACATTTCAATGACAACTAAATTCTTTAATAAAACAAGTGTTTTTGGACGTCGTCATACATCTTTAAATTCAGGAGTAAATTTTTCAATATTAAACTTATTCGATTTTAGACCATGATTTGAAGAAAGTAACGTAAATTTCAATGTGATGCGAATTTAAAAAATATATATATTCTTTATATTTTCGTATTTTTTATATATTAAAGACAAAACAACAAAATTTAATAAGAAAAATTCACGTAGTTTAAGTTAAAGGCGAATTTACTGACCGCTTTCAAAGATCTTCATTATACTTATCATAAAATGTATCAGAATAATGCGTGAATATTAGCATTTTTCTTCTTTTACTAAATCTGGCAATTTGACTTCGGGCAATACGATCGCAATGTTAGATCCTATGCTTCGCTTTCCGTTGCGCCTTCACCTTCCATAATAGGTACTATCAAATTGTCCTTTGACATCAGATTGTACTTTGTCACAAATGCCGTAAACCTGCAACAGCGAAAATCGATACGTTCCCCTTGTAATATATCAATATATGTATATTCTCCTTTGCAATACGATACATATCGCGGAAATACCCAAATCGCATCCATTACCTGCGGCAGAGATAAGTCTCATTTTCAAATTCATCGAATATCGTTCTGTGATGGAAGTACGCGTGAGAAAAGATTCTGTAAACCCTGCGGCAGACCGAGCCCAGTTTCGCTACAGAAGACTCCTTGATGCTGATTCTGAAATGCAATTTTACACAGGTAGGAGTTTATTTACGCACCCAACGATAAAAATGCGGCACGAGAGGGAGAGAGCTACGAAAGTGACGACGAGAGAGATACCTGCTGGGGAAGTATTTGTTGCTGTTAAGCAGACACGCCGCCCCGTCCAGCGTGTGCCGAGTGTAATCGATCGCGGGGCACTCCTTGGGAGTTTTGTGTGCCGCGCATAGAAATATCCACTGTTCCGTGGCCGTCATCTGCGTGCAGGTCTCGGGATGGCACTCCTCTTGCAATCTGACCGCCAGACCGTTCAGCTCCATGCAGAACTGCCTGAGATGCTCGTACTTCCACACACCTTCGTCGTTCGCCTCCGGCATATTGAGTATCAAGTCGATATTAGACGGATCTCTTCGGATCATCTGTTGAATGTACTGCTGCACGGCCAGCGTGCTATCCATCTCCTCGAACGGCTCGTCCGGCCACCTGCTGAAATCCTGCGGAGCGAAATAAAAACCTTGTGATCGTGAGCTCTTATAAAAATAATTAAATCTACGTCAGCGTTCCTTATAAACAATCGATCAACTTCCTCCGCTATACAGCTCGTCGCGATGTAAAAATAAATCCGATGTAGCGTATAAAACGCAAACACTCCCTGCGTGCTTTATTATAATGTTGAATAATCAATAAAAACCGAGAGAGAGAGAGAGATAAACGCGCGTACATAAACATGCAGTACTTTCGATGAGAATACAAACAAGTCATCTGTCAAATCTGTCACGCTTCGGTGAGGGGATAAAGGGAGCTACGAAACGTCGTGAAACTGAACGATGCTGGGAGATTGGGGAAGACATTCTCGTAGGGTAAACAATATCTCCGTTTATCCCGAATTCATTGATTTTCACCGAGGAAAGTGTCAAACGGAGGAGGAAGTGAAGGGAACTCCGGCGGCGCCGTCGGGCGGATCCTGACGGGTGTCGCCCGAGGGGGGAGTGGGAGGTGCGAGTGCAACGGGTCTTTCCTTAACGAAATTTAACCTCTGCTTTCGTCCCGGGCCTGTTTCTCCGCAGGATCGTGGGTCCGTCCGCCATCTTCATCTTGCCAGTTGTTACACTCTCTGGAACGACCGGTTCGCGGCACGCTCGGCTGACGGCCACTTCGTCGCCGCGGCCTCCCGTCGACAGATGCACCCGCGAGCGACGACGACGACGACGACGATACGTCCCACCACCCCGGCGACGAGACGGACTCACAAGTCAAGCGCCCCAGTAGTTGCCCAGATTGTTCCGCCTGCCGCGAAAGTGACGCATGCGCGTCGCGCGCGCGCGCGCGTCGTTCAGGCGTGAAGTGAAGGAGAAAAAATGGATTTTATATTTAAAAACGCGCGTTATCGCAGCCTCCCGTCGACTTGACGTGATTTCCCATGACGTGATTTCCCACGCGAAAGGGGACAAGAGTGGCCTATTAATTAACTGTCCACTGCGCGTCTATTGATTCCAAAAAAAAAAAAAAAAACCGAGATGTTTCGTGTAGCGTTACTCCGATCTAAATCGGATCAGTTTAAATTAATTTAACGCTAATAAAATACTGCATAATTAATCGCCGATTAAGATAACCGGAGCCTGATCGAAATTATTCTTCAGTTTGCTCGTCAAAAGTGTTCTAATGATGATTCAGTGAACGTCATCTTAATTCATCAAAACTATTATACGAATTAAATTTGACAAAACTTATAATTACAGATTCGCGATGCAAAATAAAGTTAGAAATAACTTTATTTTTATTTAATTTATTTTTTAGTAAAAATATAATATACATTTCGTGTATAAATCTACGAGTCGGGATTTTCCGCCATGCGTGATTCGCTGTCGTCCAGGTCGTCGATGTACCTTTTCGTCACTATACACCTCGTCATGTGGCAATTGCACGGCACGTCGTGCTCCACCTCCTCCGCGTCCAACAAGCTCAGCTCCATGTTGTAACGCCGCGGACGCGACGCGTCTCTTTTCAGTTCCAACTTGAAGGCAACCGGCTCGTTCCTCGTCACTTCGACGTCCTCGGGCAAAACCACCGCGGTCTGCTTCCAATGCGTCGCCTCGTCGTGCGGCCCCGTGGACAGCTCCGAACCGTCTGGAAATTCGACCGCGAACCAAATGCACATCCCTTGGAACCTGCCGTCCTTCTCGCATACCGACACGTAATCCTCTCCGCCCAGCGGATCGAGCTCCTCCACGGAGATGCACTCCAAGTCCAGCCAGGCGAGCAATTTACCCGCCGCCAGAAGATCGTCTTGATTCACCAGCAGGATCTCTGGCTTCAGGGACTTGGTTTTTCTGTACTCTTTTCCAATAAACCTAAATGGAAATGGAAACTGTTACTGAACAGAAAAAAATACCGTGCTCCTGCGATGATTAAAAAAAAAATAATAATAATAAAACAACGAAATAATGCTCTCAATATCGTTTCTGTTCTGAAGTAACGTGTAAAATTACCTCATGCCGACTCCGCACACATCGTTCCAAAATTCATACATAGAAGGCAACTGGCACGGCGAGGCGTATAATTTTGCAACGGATGGAAATAACGAACCGTCCTCGCGCAAGAAATTGTCCCTGGCGAAAAGTACAGAATCCAACATTCCCTCGTGTACCAAATAAAAGCCCATCCATTCTGACACGATAACGTCCACTTTCTCCAAATCGCCTGGACGGATGTCCTCTACTTTACTGTGAATTACTTCAACTTTGTTCTGCGCATTATTTTCAATCGACACTTGCTCGATGCTCTTTGCTAATATACTTGCTTCCACTGCGTAGACTTTTTTCGCACCAACCTGGGCACAGAAAATTGATAGTACACCTGTAAAAAATAAATATAATGATTAAAGCGCAATGTTATATTGTGTTATACATGTTAAATTCTTAAAAATGAGAATTTTTAAAATATTTAATCATTGTACCTGAGCCAGCACCAACATCCATTACTATTTTGCCTTGAAATTTCTCCCTCGAATTAAAAATAGCATTTTTATATGCTAATACACGTGTTTTGTCATTTAACATTAATTGATGGATCTAAAGATAAAATAAATTTAATTTTATAAATATAATAAATTTATAATATATAATGATTATATATGTATATGTTGTACGTATGTATATATTTGTCTCACTTACGTCAAGTTCTTCATAACTTTCAAAGTATTGATCCATTGTTTATTAACACATGCAGAAGGTATAAATTATGTGAAGCAATCCACACTTGCTGTTAGTTTTTATAAACATAAATGTTGTAAAAATATATAAATGTTATTTTCTGTTTTTCGGTTTTTGTTTTATCCAAAGAAGTCTCCACTGAAAAATATATGAACCAGAAATGTATCTTAATATTGACTGAGTAAGACGATCACACCACGTGGATAACACGTGTAATTCAATTTTTCCGTTTATCTCACTCAATGTCGATCAAGTCCGTATTTTAATTAAAACAAAAAAAACAACGAACAAATACAAAAAACACAGGAAATATATTCATGAATATGTAACTATAATCAAAGCTCCAGAAATGTTTACGCTCTACGTGAGATTTCTAACCTCTCTTTGGTTAGAGAGGTTAGAGTGACGCACGTGCAATGTTTACATGATACTACAATACTAATCAATAACATAAAAAATTTCATTTCAAATTATATTTGTATTTGTATGTTGCAATATTTGCAACAATTTTTTTCTATAACAATATTTAGTTTGCTTGATGTAAAAAAAATAGATGTGCACACGATTATAAAGACACATGTCGTGCCTAACCTTAGTAACAAGAATTAATATATCTATACATGCTAAATAAACTATATATTTATGCAATCTTCGACATCTTAATACTTAGGATTAGGTTTGTTGTCATCGGTAGTCATTAACCCCTCTTTTTCCATCATACGCCTTTTAAACTCCATCTGTTTTTCCAGTTGTTTTCTTTTTCTCTCCAATCGTTGTTTCTCGCCTAAAGGCAATGCTGCAAAAGATTCAGACGGTCGGCATTTAAAAATAATATACATGATTCTATACATACCCTTGTACGGGAATAATTTAATGACTTGTAAATTTTCAATACTACCTTTTGACTTTAACTTCTGTTCAATTGTAGAAATCGTTTCGTCATTTGAGAAGGACCTGACAATCTTAGCACTTTCAGTCTTTACAGATGACGATGGATTAGCCTCAGTTGTATTGTTGTTGTTCACGATGGATATTGGAGCAGGCTCTAGATATATAATAGTTCACTATGTTAAATATACACTGCGCTATAATTATAATGGATGAACTGAGAATGATATAAAGAATGATTGTAATAAAATTGCAGCCCTTAATACAAATCTTTCTTCAAAACTTTTTAATCTCATAAAATTTCTGACCATTTAGAATTTTAACTTTTTTTAATTGACACTAGTATGTCCTTAATTTGAGTTATACTGTAACCAATGTATCATATTATATAAAATCACAATAATAAGAAAAGTAATTATTTTCTAGAGGATTGAAAATAATTTATTTGAATAAGAAAAAATAAGCATTGTGAAGTCTCCTAAAAAAAAGATCTTATAGTTTAGATTTATATCATTCTCAGATCTATCGAATTCTTTGTATACTTTATTTCTCACAAACCTGTCGTTAAGAGATCTGAATTCTTATTTGTTTCGGGTTCGCTTGTACGTTCTGTTTGAAGTACATGAGAACCGGGCGCTTTAACTGAAACGCTTGATTTCTCCGAAATCTGCTTGTCCGATTCACTCACACCTCTCCGCACGTCGCCGGCTTGCTCAGGATTAATCTGTCTCCGCAACTGTTGCAATTCCCTTTCAACTCTGTCTCCGAACGACAGCAGGACTCTTTTCAAGGCATTCACAGCAGAACCCTGTGCAAACAGAAATAATTGTTTAACCGGAACACAATTAAGATACACTCGCATATCTCTTTTATCAAACGAATGACGCGTACGACTCTGGCATTGTGTATCGACAAGCCCTTTGCAGACTCCTCTGCGCTGTGATAACCTATGTCCTCATGAAACGCTCCACTCTCAAGCTGGACCCTGACGAAACTGACGCAGCCAACGCAGCATTTGGCACCAGTGACGTCCACGAAATCTACAACAAATGCAAGCTCACCTTTGTAAATCTGACAGAACGTGGGAATCTCCACAATTTAATTAGACAGATGTACCTAAGGTCTGGCTGACAACGGTATGGCTCCATTTGCCTTCCCCGAAGACCTTATTGGCCGTTAAGATTAAATCACGATGATCCGCCGCCAAGTCCATCGGCTCTGCCTTCTCGGGCCTCTGCGCACTCTTCATTGCGGCTTGTTTTGCCGCAACTGTCGCGGGCTGAAGGGCGAAGAACATTCATACGTTTGCATTACTTTCGCATAGTCGTGAGGCAAATCAGATTATTTCATTTTACTCTGCGGTGCCACAAGCCAAGATCTATGAGAATTACTCACGATTTTGATACACGACAAATATTCGTGCCCATTGTACATGTCGACGGCAAAAATCAAAAATCCTTTAAATCGCAAATTTTTGCGCGCGAAAGCGACCGGCCACGCGCGAAGAGACGTAAACAAAATGCCACTAACGCCCTCTGAAGAAGTGGATGTAAACTACATAGCATTCACTTATCTGCATCGCGGGTATATAATTTGTGATGCGTGTCGCGTGCTTATGAGATATATTTCATCCAGTTTCATTTTTTTTATTACCGAATACTGCAAAGCCGTGAAATTTTCAAACCCCTAACATGTTCATATTTGGAAATATGGCGACGCTGCCGCGCCGCACAAGTGCACACGCGCCATTAGTACGGCGGGCGCCTGTACGTAGGCTACCCATCGTGCAGCGCGATTTCAATAAGGAAACACTATATTAGAGATTCAGAGAGAAGCGTGAGAGAGAGGCTTTTCGGGTGGGACTGGCGAACTCCCTCGTACATTAACGCCCACCTCCGCGTTTTCAAAAAAAGAACACGTCTATCTTATAACATTGTCGATCAAATCATAGCATTAGAACATCGTGTCCGTGCTAATCGTGCATATTATATATGCCACATTCTTCTTTCTTTTTCGTCTTTCTTTTTCTTTCTATTTCTCGCAAAACTTCATATTACATAAATTAATTTAAATATGTGTTTTTATATTAAAGATTTTAATACAAGTACATATTATTTAAATGTTATATGTTAAAGCTGATATCATACAAAGTATCGTATAAAATATTAAGATGTCTTAATATACAATGTAACATATCGTTAGAATGAACGAAGGGAAAGATTTGTCATAATATAGTGAATCGTAATATAGTTTACTGATTAAATATTCTTACACGGTTACGTGTTAAGATGTGTTAATGAAATAAGGACAGCTAATGTCGTTGCTGCAGAAGTTAAATTTATTAATTATTAAAATGTAGATGCTACAGCAAAAAATATTTGCTACTAAAATCAAATCATATTTAGCCGAATCTACTATGCTATTTTATCTTCACAATAAAGTATAATAATATTTACAGTATACAACTTATATACTGCAAAATATAAATGCTAAATGCGCTGTATAGATGTGCATATCGCAGTGTCACATTGCAAAAACAATTATAAATCAAATTTTTGCGCGTAGCTATAAACTTAACTCTATATGTGCTAAATGTGTGCATGATAAGACATTTAGGTACGCATGCCATCTTTTTAGCTGCCTATACTAATATACATACAGCTTTTAATTTTAGTTAATAATTTTTTTTTTCACAGTGAATGTTTTTTTATCTGTATAATAACCAGAACTTGGCAATGACACTAAGGCGATAGCTCTTATAGCTAAGTTTGATTCAGCTATTGAAATTTAGCTATAACTATTATTAAGTCATTTTTTTGCGTGTATGTACAAGGCATTTAATTTTTCAATTTTTATTGTATATAAGTTATATATATAAAATTGCGATCTTTTATCCTAAAAATGTATGGATAATTACATAATTAAAAAAATGCATTGAAATAATTTTGACTCATAGCTTGGCGCGATCATTTCTTTTTCGTTATTCTGCCGTCGCAAAATCGTGTGTGATTATTGTTGAAAATTTTATACGAAACATCACTATCATAATTTACCGTGCTTCTTCAGGAGTACTTTTTGTGTATGCGTAAAAATACTACTGAAATGTAGTAGTGCCATTGCTACATTTCAATAGTATTATTTATTGCTACATTCAATAGTATTTTTACTCCATTAATAGTTTATTTTTACGCGTGGTATGTATGAAATAAAAGAATCTAAAAGCAGAAATAAGTCGTCGAACGACGATGCTCGACGGATCATCCATCATCAGGTAATTTTTACTTTTCATTGTATAATTCTTTTTGGAAGTTATGTAATTTTTTAAATATAATCATCATTGCATTATCATGAGATTTATTAATCTACAAAGCTTACTTTTAAAATTTGCGTACTCTATTCGTAAATATACTGGATTACAATTCACGGTAATAATTTACTCATTAAAGAATATCCAAAATGCAATGAATAAATTATTTAGAGTTTATTTCAGAACATGTAAACTACAATTAAGTTTTGTTTTGTTTAGTTTTCGGATATCTTTAGATATCGTCCCTTCCAACATGGAGAGAATTATTCCTTTTAAAATTTACCCTGAAAATCATGTTAATTGTGAGATAATATAGTATTTAGCTAAATTAAAAAAAAAATTCTCTTCGTGTAGGGTACTCGACCTTGTCGTGGTGGAAGGGCTCAGTACCCCGAGGACTTAAAAATTAATTATATTATACTAGCTTTAATTAATTAATTATAAGTCTAAAGACGGGGAAGCGAACCGAGTACCCATTGCACCCAGTGAGAAATGATCGATACAGCTGGCGAATTGAAGGTCATTTTTCACTGGGTTCCCAGATAGCACAGATGATAATGAGAAAAGGACTCAGTTATATGTCACTAATTTTGAGTTCATTTTCAGATTCAAAAAAAATTCTTTTTCTAAAACGGACTGAATATATATTAATGAATAAAATATTTTATTAAAATTAGTAACATATAAAGTAATTTCGACTAAACTCGAATTAAATTAATCGATGATTAATCCAACTGATAGAATCCTCTGGCTATAATTTCATTATTGTCTCTTTAATTTTAATTTTTTTTCTTGCACATTAGATATAAAAAAGGAATTGATATAATATCAGATAAATAAAAGATTGATATATCGCAGAAATTGATAGAACTGCAGATATATTAACTGCAGATGTATTAACTGCAGATTAATTAAAATCATAGTCAACAGCCAAAAGCAAGAGTTTAAATTACAATTGTGCATAATTTCTGCGCGTTTATTTCTCGCTGAAAACAAGACGTTTCATTCATGCCGATAATCGCCTTCCCGCGTTGCCACGAACGAACGCAAAGGTACCCCTTCCTTCCGCGTCAGTGAGATTCGAATCGGCTAAATTGAGCGCTAATACGTCGCAAATATGAAAAATATATACATGATCAAAAAATAGAAGACCACGTGATTTAAAAGGCTCTTTGATAGTTTGATGAGCGAGCTATTTCGGGACTCGTGACGCGGACGGTGCACGCTGGCTCGTTCTCGCCAGTCGTCGAACGTGAGATCGCGCGAGCGAGATAGCTTATCGTCGAGCATTATTTTTTTTTCCGCTCGCGATTATCAATTGACGCGAGCGAAGGAGGAGCGAGAGCGAAAGCGCTCGCGCGCGCGACGGCGGAGGGGTGTGCGAGAAAGCGCGCGCCCATCGTCGATTAACGTGGGAGACGCGAGCCTCGTCGCGGCTCCCGACAAACGGCCGCGATTAACGTGATTTAACGAATTGAAGATGGAATATATCGTGACCATCGTAACGGCGACGCGACAGCCCCTGTGACCGTTCGTGGCTCGTGGCACGTATCTACGCGCGTCGTCGTCGTCGTTGCAAGTCCGAGTCGGAAACTCGGAAATGAGATTCAATGACAGGGAGCTCGCGGAGGCGAGTTCCGGACCCGCGGACCTGGAGGGACGTCTAAATCACAAACGGGCCCATAAGTCAGGTTGGTTTAGTGCGACGCGAATATTAAGTGGGTTTTACGTAACGCGACGCGTCTTAACCTGTCAGCTGTCACCTGTCACTCGAGAGCGAGAGAGACACCCCGTGTCGTGTAACCTAAAACGTAAAGGTTGAAGGCACATTTGACTCTCTTCATCCGAAGGATACTCCCAAAAAAAACCTGTCACTCGATAGACTTTTGTACGGAGAAATTGGATTATATATAATTATCAATTATATAATTAGTCTACGGGATTAGATTGTAGATTTATTGTACATGAATAGGTTATTGTACGCTGCTGTTGGGCGCGATCACGTACCTCTGGTTTATATGATTTAAGGATTTTTTTTCAATAATTATTGCCGTTTGCGAGACGTCAGGATTATTTGTGAAAAGTTAGAACGATTGTAAATAAAACTGCGTGAGAGAGTTTTCGTCTTATGAAATGTAGTTGTACTACCTCTGAAATACTTGAAGTGAATACTTTCTGGATAAAAAAAAGACAGACACATATATGTCAAAGTATTATACACCAGTAATCTAATCTATATATAATAATCCCAGATTATAAAATTATTATTTTCTAATCTTTACTCTTAATAGATAATCTTAAAAATCACTTCTCAATGTTTTGCAAAAAATTAATATCAATTGCAAGAAAGAATTCAAGTTGTATTTACAATTGTAGGTAAATGAAATAAAATTAAACGAATAATATGTGCGTGATACTATTTATTTTCACATTTGCTTCCAGTGTTCAAAGAAAAATGGTTCAAGCTGCGGTACAATCTACTATTTTACTTCAACATCAATGACTTGGGGCAGATTGATAGCAGGCAACCTGAGGGAGTCATTGTTCTGGAGAACTACAACATCAATATAGACAATTCATCCGAGGGGGTATTTGCGTTCAGCATCTCGTTCCGCAACGAGCTGGAGAAGCGGCACGTTCTGAGCGGTCGGTCAGAGTCTCAAGTGGAGCAGTGGATGAACGCGCTTAAGCAAGCGAGCTACGGATACTGGAGAGCCCGCCTGATCACGCTTCAGGAAAGATTGTGCAAAAAGACGGGGAAGGATCCGTTGCTCATGTATCCCAGGAATCAGGGTGTAGTGCGAGACGAAGCGTGGGAACCTGCCACCAGCTTCCGATCTCATGTACGCTCGTTCACAACGTCGGTCGCGCCTACATTGAATACAATAACAAGGGACGTTAATCTCATAGATCTTTAATATAAAGAAGAATATTTTTAAACTTAATTTTAAAAAAGTTGCCTCAAAAAATGTATATCTTGATGAAATGCATATATATGTAATCGATGGAAGAGAGTTTTGTGTAAACTGCCATGAGCACAAGCGAGTTTTAGGACGCAAGTCCAATAATGTATGAGCTTTAATTTATATTTATATCTTATAATAATGTAAAATAATATACATAAAACCTATATTACACATAAGGCAGAATGAAAATATTGTAAGTTGCTTTAGAACAAGAGAAATATTATATAGTTAGACGAAGTGATTTACTTCAGATAATAATTTCGTGATATAATATTAAAAAGTTTGTAAAATGCAGAAAAAATTGAAAACTGATCTTATGAAAGAGTTTTTGTATAATGTAACAAACAATATTACAACAGGAAAGAACTAAATTACATAAAGTAATGATAACAGCAAAGTATTACGGATGTAAAATATATGCAACGACAATATGAATAACTATATTTATATAATATTGTAAAGCAAATGATAAGTGTTATATGAATGTACTAATGTATACATTATTTTAATGACTATATGTTGAAAATAGATGATAATACATTAGGTACAATTCGTATTATAAGAAAAATTTTGTGATTTCTTATTTATTAATTATTTGTTTTTTTTTACTATCTCTGTATGAATTCGACGAAGTATTCATTCGTTAAAAAAAGATACTCAATTTTCTATTCAATGTCTAACTAAATTTATGTTAATAATAAATTAATTGGAAATTAATTTAGAAGAAATAAACGTATTTTTATAATTTCAGCGTATTTTCTCTCTCTCTCTCTCTCTCTCTCTCTCTCTCAGAAAGATTAATAATAAAAATTAATGAAATAAAAAACATGTTAAAGATATGAATAAAAAACATAGAAATCTTATAAATCATGAATCGTTTGAGTTGAAATTTGCTTAATTGAAACTATATAATAATATTTCAATACTGTTTATTATTAGATCTCTTTTTCAACAACTTGGGAATTCACAACTCTGTAGAAAAATGATTCACTATTTATATTTTCAAATAGCCTTATTTACAAATTTTACATTTCACAATCTTCCATAGGTGTGATAATAACGCATTACTGCAATTTAGTTTGCATACTTTATTTATACAATCATTATAATAAATTATATATGTATATTTCTTTTAAAGTATATTTACGCACGCACGAATGTGTATCCTATATACGTATATAGAGCGATTCAAACGTTTCTAAACGTTTGCATCTAGAACAATTTTGTCGTATTTGAGAAATACGAAAAACTCTAAAATTGAAGTTGTAATATACAGTATTGCGTAAACGTTAACTTTAATTCTAAATGATGTGGCACATCAATACTTTTTATATATATTTCCTCTCACTCTGTTTAAAAATAAAATCAAACCAAAATGGAAATTTTCGTATCTCTTTACAAGCAACAAAAATGTTTAGATACAAGCATTGATTCACCCTGCATACGTATAGAATGATTCTAAAATAAATTATCAAATTTTGTAGACATATTCTTTAACAAATTAGGAATTACTTTTTCTTAAAAAGATATTTTATTAATCACGATTTGCTTTTTACATCTCGCTCTTTTGCAAATTATTAGGTGTGTTTATAACTTAGGGAACAAATTTAAATTAAATTACATTTTAAATTAAACAAAAAAAAATGAGTTTTATCTCTGTTCCCATTTCTCTCCTTTGAAGCTTAATTTAGAAAAAGCTTTTTATATAATAAATCTTTTTATATTAGATTTAGAACATTTTGCATAAACGCTTCTAGATCTAATAAATCAAGACATTTATTAACATCTGGATATTTCTGCCGAGAAAGATCAATTTCAAGCTAGTGCCATGAATATGTCTACAAAGCTTGATGATCTATTTTAGAATCCCGTTATACATATATATACATACGTTGCATAGAAATATGTTATAATGACACGATTTTGGCGAATAAATTGGCTAGGACAAGTTATCTTTTTTACGATTTACATAGCACTCGCCTCACACACAACACACATACACACACACACACATACATACACACTCCTATTTTTTGATTAAAATTACCAAGTCTCTATATATCTTAATTTTGGACTTTGCTTTCTTGCACTTACAATTGCACTATGCTGTTAACAGACAGTCGGATGGTGATTTGGCAATAATTTGGCAACAGTTTGGCACGGCATAAGATATTCGTTAATCAGTATAGAAATTTAATTATCGAATTATAAACGTATGTAAATTTTCGTATAAAAATATGAAATTAAACATAATTAAACATAATTCTTGATTTCAACTTTTCTTTTTTTCCAATCGTTTAACATTATATAGACTCTCTCTTTATGTAAAGAAAGATGAAAAAATCGCCCATACAAAGTTTCTTGGTCCCATAGAAATAAGACCAGATAGAATGTGTATGAATTATTGACTTGTAAATCATTTTGCTTCAGCAGAAAAATTGTTGGCACAATATATTTTGTAAGAACAATCCGCCATCTGTCAACGTGCATAGCTCTCTTTACCAATCTAATATTATCTTTTAATAATCTTATTTAATAGAAATGTTCTTTCACATTTAATCATTTTTAATATAGTAATATTATATAATATATTATAAATAATATAGTTCGCATATATATGTATATGTAGGACATTCTAAAGAAAGATATGAATCAACACTGTCTTTTCTTTCTCTTAGTGCAAATTTAATCATAGTTTAATAATTGACGAGTTAAAATTAAGAAATTAAGAAATAAAAGTAACAACGATTTATGAAACAAACGCTCCATTCCAATATTCGTTACAAAACAAAAGCATTATAATAATGAAGAAATACAAGTAACAACTTATTAAACAAACGCTCCAATTTTTATTACAAAACAATTTTAGCAAGCATTATAATAATGAAAAACGCTGTATAATTATATTCATTACGCATAATTTTATATTCTTTTTTTCCTCTATTATACTAGAAAGTAGAACGCTGAAGGTGGAATGTTCTAAAAATATTTAATGGCTTTTTCAGTACTTTTCCATAAATAAATGTGTGAGCGCATGATTATTAAAAAAGAAAAAAGTAGTTTATTGATAGGTGAAATGAAAGGACAAAACAAAAAGTCGTAGGTGAATTTTAGGACATAAAATATAAGAAAATTTTTAATAAATTATTATTATCGTTGTAAGATTCTTACAGTACTGATACATATTTTTACTAGAACATCCTTTACATATATACAGAGCGTTACAAAAGTTAAGTATAAAAATACTACAGCGGAAGTTCGCAAAAATTAAATAATGAAAGAGCAACAGTTTTTTAAATACACGATTAAATACAAAATTTGAAATTTGGCCAAATTATTATACAATAGTGACTGTTAATGATTTCTTGAATTCTTTGGCACGTATTTTAATCGATGAATAACAACGTAAAATACTCTTTAACTTTAGCTTATTATTTTAGCCAATTTCAAGCTTATACTTAAAAACTTGTTGCTCGGAGGAAAAAAAGCGACGAAAATTTTCATTACTTAATTTTTCGTCAACTTTCCGTTGCAGCGCTTTTACACTCAATTTTTGCTACACTTTGTATATATATGTATATATTGTATATATACACATATTAATATTTATGTAGTAAATAAAATTCTTAAACCCGACGCAATAATTCTATACAAATACACTGATTTCTTTAGTAGATTGAAGTACTTGACAACAGTTCCATTTTAACAAACGCACGTCACACTTACTGTCATTGAGCTCATGTCGTTACAACAATGCTCTTTCACTACATAAACGATAATATAATTATTTGTAAATGGAGCGATTTATTTCGTGATATGGACCGCTCATTCAATATACAGATAGCTGCTGGAAAGTCCTGACATATGTCTATGCATATATTCACGGCATTGTACGCATTACACAGACATAAAAGGAGAAATTTCTTCTGAGCATATATCATTTTTTATTAACTCGTGCTCTTCAACTTTCTTTTTGTATAATTAACACGAAGCGGATTATATATAAATATACTCTTGAATCTAAATTACAGAGAAGATTACAACATGTAATAATAAAAGAACTTGGTTATATATATTTATATATATATATATATACATATTAAAGTATGTGCTTTTTATAAAAAGTGAATTTTTTTTATGTAACAAAAGAGGAAGAATTATAACAGCTCAAGAAGAGAGATAAAAGAAAATAATAATTATATTAGCCTCTTATTCCACTTTAATTGAGTGATAGTTTGTTTCACAGTATACATTTAATCGTTACAACTTTCATATCGCGTTTTAATCATCATGTGTAATAATTTTTAAATAATTTTAATAATACACGATTTTAGCATTATTATTTACATATGACTCCTATAAGATATTACTCAAAAAAGTAATATCCTTGCGTAGAAACTCTATTCAAAAAAATGTCCGTTTTTAAATAAATAATTAAACAATAACAAATAGATATTTCTTACATATACATAGCGCATGTAAAATCACACGCTACGTGCGCCAGGCCATGCTAAATTGATCTAAAAAGAATTCTATATTACAAATTATATATTTACTTAACTAAGTAGGGAAAATGTTAAGTAGGAATCTTAAACTCTTATTAAACTATTTGGCTACATGAAGATAAGATCGCTTATTATTTGGCAACAGTTCCTCTAGATAATTTCTCCCTTTACGTCCGAGAGCAAATCTAAATGTGGTTGCACGCAGAATATACATATATTTGAGTGACAAAGTGCTAAAGTTTGTAAAGAAATAGAGATACAAAAAAAATTAACATAATCACAGTTGGTTGGCAGGCTTGCGAGCGAGCGCAGGCATGATGCGTTTGGACAGGCTCTTTCAACGCAAATACCTTGTCTTTCTTTACATGATTTTATCACTTGGTCGATATAGTAGTACTTCAGTAGCCTGTTAAATAACTTATATTGACAGACTGAGCCTTAAACGTAATCGTTTGTTCCAGGGCTTGTCAATGGTTCTTGAGCCTGTCAAAACAAATAATACATCAGAAAATCTTTTATAAAAAAAATTTTAACATTTTGTTTCCTTCATAATCCACAATAATTATTATCTTCTAAAATCCTTAGGTAAAATTTAATTCAAACAATTATAATTAAAACTTATCATTTTTACCTCCTCTCCAACTGTAGCTGCGGGAAGCGGGAATCTGTTTTTCTCAAGACTAAACTGATCTTCTGTAGTTTTCCTGTAGACCGGATTATCGAAGTTCATGCTAGTAACATTGCGATGAAGATAATGCCTGTAGCACAGCACTGCGACGAGTGCGAGTAATAACAGTCCTAAGGACACTACGCCTATCACGATGCCGGCGACTAAACCAGGATCTGTTGATTCAGTTCCAGAGTTTCCTTTTCCATCTGCGTCTGCTGAGGATAATGGATCTAGAAATAGCACGTTAAATATATGTGAAAATTCTAAAATATAAACCAATTTGATGTTCAAGTGTAAAGAGATCTCAAAAATCTTTTCCAGCATTATTCCAGCACATTCATTACTGTAGCAGAGTTAATACATTTAATTAGTAAAAATTTAATAAATTTATTTCTGTAGTGAGATATATATATATATATATATATATATATATACACATACAAGATCATAAAAAGTAAAAATCTAAATCTAGAAAAACACTAAGCTATCATATCAAGTAAATTACACATTTTTAAGAAAAAATACATGCAGAATATAGGGCACATGCAAAATAACTTAATGTATCTAATC